TCCTCTGCTGCTGCAGGGTGTTGCGGGTGCCGCCCCTGCTCTGTGCTAGCTCTCCGCTAGGGGGGTGTGGTCACCGTTGCCCTGGTAAGTCCCGCGTCACGGCATTGGGATTCGGGTTACGCCGCTGTCCTGGGGTTCTCCTGTTGAAGGAATCTCCCAAAAAATCCCCCTGTGCCTCGTGATCAGTCTGTCTGTTGGAGCTGGGTCGGCTCTGAAGCAGCTGATCTCAGCGACAGAGTCTGAGGGAGTCTGGGTCCAAAACAAAACCCAGAATTCATGCTCTCATCACCATCCCACAGTATCACACCTGAAAGGATCATCCCCTGCCTCATGTTAATTTGACCCAAAATATTAATTCACTCTCCAGGGAGCAATTCTTTGCTATGTTGTGTACTGAGATATGTATAAATCAATCTGACTGTATTAGTTCTGTAGCTGGCATGCAAATGCCAGGTATTCATGGAATTATTAATTGTTATTAGTACTGGAATCTGTAGTGGACAACACAGAGGTGCAGAGATCTTCTCTTCTGAGGTATTTTTGTAGACAGTGATGTTCTGTAGTTGGAAAAAGATGCTCCTCCAGTGAGTGATTAAGAGCAAGCACCTGACTCTGTATTCTGAAATGAACTTTGTAGACTGTCAAAGCCTGTGAAAATTCTTCTGCCTTCATCAGAGTGAAGTTTCCCTTTATCAGTACCTGTTTCAAGGCCCTGAGGACAAAAATCTGTGTAAATTAGTTCTCAAGATATATTAGGGTTGAGAGGACAAAGAACATCCATTCTATAAAATGTGTTGCATTACAGCTATTGATTTCACAATTCATATATATTCATATTTTCACAAATAATAATGCTCTCTGCGCTGTTGTGTTCAGAAAAGGTCAATCCTTCCTCTTCAAATGTGTAATGTATGTGTAAATATAAGTAACCTTTGTTAATACTCTGTAATTTCTTTACAAAAAGACATTACAAAATTATGACAGTTTGTTCCATTTGTTCCTATAAAGCATTTCATCTGAAAAGTTACAGCTCTCATCTTTGTCCTTGAAATTATTCAGCTAAGTGCAAGTTGCCTTTATGAAAAGTAAAGAACTAGAGCCCACCCTTGCTTCAGCATAACACACTGGAGAAACTACTGTACTGTAGAAACTATCATGTGGGGAAGCTTTGACGTTTTTAGATGAGGTAGAAGGATCTTCAAGCAAGACTTTAAAAGGCCTTCTAGGGTCTAGAGACTCCTCTTATCCGTAGTCCTGCATGGGAATTAGTATGTCCAATGGGTTATGCACCAGACCTATTGCTGGGCTAGAACTCCAAATGCTCTTCACACCACTTACAACAACTGTGTCTCACCACATTGGAACCTTACCTATAATATTTCTTGACAAAAAGACAAGTAACTGAAGAGAAAGAATAGTCCACTGATAGTACTGCTTTAACCTCTGAAGTGTGACATGTGCATGAATCACTCAATGAAGTTCGTTATTATAAACAGCAAGATGAAATTCCACAACATACTTACAGTTCTTTGCATTAGTAGAGGAGTTTCAGAACAACCAATCCCTTCATCATTAAAACTTGATTCCATATTGATTATGTCTTCAATCACTTCTTCCATCTGATAAAATAATATTTTAAGACCAATCATTATAAAAATAATGGAAATAAATCTTGAGAATTTATTGCATCAATAAAACTGAATTTCAGAAGTTTATATCTTAAAATTCAAATAGTTCAAGCACGTTTACACAATATTAGAATTTTTTACCTCTTGTGAAAACAGTTTTTGTTGTTTAGCAAGTTACTCCTTTCCTCCCAAACACCAGCCCACCCCCTTTTTTAACCCCTTATTGCAACACCAAGATCAGATGACAGGAGTGCATTGCTAAGTTGTAACTCTGATCCGTCACCTTCATCAAATGTCATATCCACAGTGTATTGTTGCATTGGTGCAGGAAGGCTGAAAGGAACCTGTGGCTCTGCAAGAGCGTGAGTCACTCAAGATGTGGTGTTACACACTGCTCTCAAGATTCAGGAGGCAGAGGTTTGTGTTGTGTTTGGCAGCACACTGGATACTTCTCCAGATACCTTTCTGGTCCCAGTTTTGTTCTAATCTGAATAAAAAACTACTGAAGCAGATGGAATAGCTAATTCATTCCTTGGGATGAAAGAGTGAATACTTTACAGACATATATTTTTTACTGTGAGGGTGGTGAGACACTGGAACAGGTTGCCCAGAGAAGCTGTGGACGCCCAATCCCTGGAGGTGTTCCAGGCCAGGCTGGATGAGGCTTTGAGCAACCTGGGCTAGTAGAGGGTGTCCCTGCCCATGGTAGGGGAGTTGGAACTCGATGAACTTTAAGGTCCCTTCCAACCCAAACCATTCTATGATTCTATGGTAAATAGATTTGGACAAGGTACAGCATGAGTTTTGAATTATAATTTTGGCCCAGTTCTGTTCACAAAATAACTTTGGGAAAGACCCCATGATGAACCTGTCACTGTTAGCTCTAACATCCACAGGAGTTGAGTCCTGCTCTGAGGCTTCTTGAGCAGCTCTTGGGAGCTGCCTGAAGAGCTGTAGCTGAAGGAAATGTAGAGGGTCCTATGCAACAAAAGAAAGTGTCACACAGGCCTTTCAACACAGATTTTTAGGCTACGTGGACCAGCACAGCTCATACATGCACTCCTCTTCCTCTCAAAACTAGACATGTGCTGTCCCAGAAGTTGTGCCCAGTCTTGTCCAGAAAAGTGCTGTCAGGGCCAAAAGGATGCCAAAAAATGCCAGCAATTAGACAACATGAATGACTACCTGTGTGTTGGCTTTATATTATTTACTAATATAACTATAGCCTACACTGAACCGCAGGGCACAGCCGCACTAGGAAATTACACTGTGCCAGTCATCTCCCTGAGACTATGGGATGGGATTTTTCAAACAATTGGAATGAAACCTGTGAGGATTTTGGCCAGTGCCAACTATCACTCTCCCAGTCGTCACAAGGCACAGCTCAGGAGAGTGATTTACAAGCAGCCATCTTGCTCTTCAGGACAGAGAGTGGTTCAAGGGCAGGCACCCGTTGTTCTTGGTCGGACACCCGAAGTGCCTGAGATCAGCTCCAGCACGCTGCACTTTCCAGCACAGAGGTGATCACAGAGGCCTCCACAAAGGCAATCTAAAATAATCTTTGCAGTCTAGTGGCTCCAGTAGTCCATAAACCTGACATAAAATGTGAGTTGCCAATGCAGAAGGACTGGAGGGGCCCCAGATGGGCAATCCAGAAAGTGCCAGGTTTATTTTTTTCAGTTCCCCCATGCATAACATCCAAATGCTCAAATGGGTCACACTGTGAGAGTCTTCTGTTCTGTAAAAGCCCAAGATAAGGTACAAGATCTCCATTTCTTATTCCTGTAGGAATTCCCCTTTTACCTAATAAGCAGTCTCTTTTGAAATCTATTGAGGTGTTAAAGGCCATAATGATCTACATCTCACACTGGCTGAGAATCTAACATTGTATAATAGCTGTACCTCTATTAAAATTGATGGTGGCACTAAAGTTAGCATATCTATACCAATTTACCCAAGATAATGCATATATAAATATATCAGCTAACTGAAAAATGAATGAGCGGTTCTTTCAGTTACATCTTTAAGGTAATCACTATTTAACTTTGCTATGCATCTAGGATAATACTTTTAGACAGAAATAACTCTCATCTGAAAAAAAAAGTTTTGTATTGCAAAGTACATATTCAAAAAATGGACAGCAATGTATGACGCATAGATAAAAAGATGCAACAGTACATTTTAACTGGCAGTAATTTAGAAGCCTGATCATGCACTAAGGTATTCACAGGCATTCAAGGGAATCACCCACGTAATACAAAAGGATTCAGGGGGCAAGTGATGCAACTGAAGTCCCCATGAAAGGAAAGAGGGTCATCTCTTGCCCACTACCAATACATGGCAGGTCACGTAATGTTTTTGTAGAAGTACACAAAGCCCATTTTCCCATTCCTTTCACCAGCCCTGCCCTACCGCATTTTCGTGTTCGCCTCCAAGGGCCAGCAGCTTGGTTACGGGGCTTTCTGGTGTGCCAATATCGCTGACGGGAGGCATGTGTCCGTTTCTTAAAATGGGGGTCACTCCCACAGGCTGGATTGTGTGGGAGTGGGACAGGGAGAGCGTCTGGCTGGACAGCTTGGTATCAAGAGTCAGGTACTGCTTCACCTGATGCCTCTGGCTTTGCTGTATGTGGTATCTAGACTGGTTTTCCAAGTGCGTTTGGACCTGGGAAGAAATGGAAATAATTGCTAAAATTTCAAGTTATTGGTACCAGTATTTTCCCATATGTTAAATTTAAAAAACTTCTAAACAATAGATTTGGTTTTAATAACACTTGGATAGAATTATTATTGACCTTAAATATTTTTTCAGTTTTGCACCCATCCACATTTCTTATTGGTTTACCATTGTCACCCAACACAGCTGAATAAACCTTCTGAATAATTATGAAAGAAAAATAGAATTAGAAAAGATAAACATGATCCTGAGAAAAGACCATAAGTATGCTATACATTATTCTTTTCTCATTTAAGAATGATCTCTATTGAAATCACTGATCGTTACAATCAAATTTACAAGCATATATGTACTCTAAAATTAATATCACAGTGTGTATACTCTTTTGTATTTAAAAGAGTAAATAAATGTATAAAGAAAAATATAATCCAACCAACTTCAAGTAATATCAACAGCAGCAGACATTCACTCATACCTAAATCCACATTTGGCTCACCTTGTAATAAGTACAGTCAGTTGAATGAGGCATTACTGCACTTCAGCAAAAAAAACCCCGAAGAAAATAAAGAGTACAAACTATGGTCCTGGATGACTGTTCACCATCCTCAAACCACACAGTCTGCTTGAAGTGCCTCTTGAGGACAGATCACTTTTTGAGTTGGTAGGACTTTATAAACTGAGTGGTCATGCCAAAATGGCTAATTGAGTAAGACTTTGGGCCATCCTTTGATTAGAGAGATTGACAGTTGCTACTTCAAACAGCTCCCATTTCAGATCCGTGTCACATTCCTGCAATTTAACTACCAGAGGAGCACTGCATACACAAACCTTACTGTCATTTCAGCCCTGTGGCTTTCTCCTCTTCCTACTACATGACTAGTCACAGATTTCTTGTAATAAATTTTTCTCAAGTGGCCTCTGTGTAAGCATGATTAATATTTGCTAAATAATAATAAGACTTGCTTTGCAGCCCTTTTTCTACCCAAAAAAAAAAAAAATCAGTCATTTAAACAAACTTTTTAATTCCCTTAACATACGTAAGCAGAGATAAATAGCCCATAAAAGAGGTTTGCATTTAAATTAGCTATATTTTTGTACAATATCACAGTACCTACTTTATTTTTAATCACGATATGGTGGCATGTCTAGAATTATTTTATTTATGTTTCTTTAAACTAATTTTCTAGTCATATAAAAAGATTAAGACATGCAGTAATTAATATAATATTAATTATTTTGATGTAAACCTTAATGTTTTTAAAAAATATTCCATTAAAATATTTCTATAAAATCTTAAATACACTGTTTAGATTTTCCCCTGTTTTATGTTAGGAAGTCATGCATCCTATATAAGGTTTTAAAACTAAATGTATATTTGGGATTTACTTAAATCATGATATTATTTGTTTTAACTGATATATTTCTGTTAGTTTTAGGAAGTGTATGATCTACTGTTAATTTAAGCTCTGATTTATCATGTGTAAGGATACATGTAAAGCTATCAAAATCATTCAGATACTTATGCATCTATTTACTCCTCCAGCTTCAGTAACACTTAAGCTCATATTGAAAGTTAAATGTTCAAGCAGTTTCTTAAATTAGAATCCAAACATGAAATCTACTGCGTGCCAGTTTAACCAGATAATTGATCTTGGGTGAAATGCAATGTGCTGAGGGAAAGAAAATATGGGATATGCTGTGTACCTTTGTTTCCTGCTGCTGTTTCAGAAGCAGCCATGGACCCTTTGTGCTTGTGCTGGACTCTAGGGTCACAGAATGAATCTATGCAAAATGACCACTACCCAGACCCTTGCACTGCCTACACTGATGAAGATTACTTTCCAGCAATCAACAGCTTTGAAAACACAGCTTCTTCACATGGCATAAATGTGAGTGGGATCAATGCATCGGCTACAAATGCATCTACTGCATTTCACCCCAACTACTTTTTTCTCTTAAATGAAGCTGATGATCATCATGAGCAATGAATTGTTGTCTCAGAAATTGTACAGGCCTACCTGAAGCATGAAATCCAGAATATCACATATCTTCAAATTACATGGGAAACATAAGAAATTTACAGTGTGCAAAGTCTATAATACCTTTTTCAAAAATTTGTTTTTAATAAGGAATTATAATAAGAAAGTGTGTTCTGCCACAAGAAGATTGCTGAAATGTCAATGGCTTAGTTTTGTCTTTCTCTGGATGTTAGATTGTTAGTGACAGATCAAAATCCCTCTGCAGCCCAAATTCCGAGTGAACTACCATAGGGTCATCCCACCAAGCAAAGGTAAAAAATCAAGTTTATCAGGAGTACTTGTTTTGTATTATATTCTTTCAGTGCTTATATCCTCTCAATACTCTCCTGAACATCTGCAAACAGGAAAAGAATTTAAAGCTTCACTGATGGGATCTGTTGGTACGGTTTTGCAAACCTCTCCATCTCCCTTACTGTGCCAGTTGCAGTCATTACAAAGCAGAGCCACTGAGGTTAAAAAAGTATCTACTTTTGAAAGTCAAACCACTATGTAAAGACAAAGCAGAGCTGGGATCCAGTTTTTATGATCATACTGGTCATGTGTAATAAATGGGGAAAAAACATCGTGCTATGCTAAATGAATTCTACAATTGCAAGTCAAGCTCTCAAAAAATTGAAATGACTGTTAAAACTGCCCATGCAACATGTGTGAAATAGGAGCAGAAACTCAAAAGTTAGTTATTTTATGAAACCAGATAACCCAGTGTCAAATACTGAGCAATTTGATCAGTTTATTTTCCACTGGGATGCTGGATGAGTTTTATTGTATCAGTAATATTCATCTAAGATTCAGTTTAGGTTTTCTGAAAATTTTAGATTATATAAACTTTTAAATAACTATTATTAAATAACTATATATTACCATAATTGCAAACATTAAACATTGACTTCATTTTGAGCTTCTTTTTAATGGTGTAAAATGAGTGGCTAAGTGCTGGCACAAGTGGCCCAGAGAGGTCATGGAATCCCCATCATTGGAGATTTTCAAAACTTGACTGGACAAGGCCCTGAGCACCTGAGGAAGCAAAAGAAATCTAGAAATAGTTAGGGAAATTTGAATTGGTACTCTAAATACTGAAACTCTGGATAATCATTATTAAGTCTGTGAAAAAGAATAGTATCAGGATAAGAGTTCATTGAAATAAATGCTAAAAGCAAAATAACCAAAAGATCACTCCCACACATAAATAGTGCCACAAGTAAAAAAGCCCAGATGGACATGCACTTAGCTGCTTAGAGACCTTGATTATGTGCATGTCCTGGATCTACCTGATAAAGTCTTTCCTCAAAAAACTGAAAAAGGAAAGATTTTTTTGGCACAGAAGCATCCTCATTTCACCCAATAATCCCAGTACAATATCTTCCAGCTGCATTAGGAAACTAATTTTCTAATTCCTCATCTTTTGAGGAGTTCCCATAATCTACGAGAACATTTTGTCAGAGACTACATGAAATTTTAAGGTGATGCTCTCTGAATGTCTCCAGTCTATGAGTCCTCCCATATATAAAATCATTAAATCTTCTTCGGACCAGGGACCTGCCTGCAATGTTGATGCTGACACACCCTTTATTGCCCCAACAGTCTGAATATAGGGTTACCGTCTTTTTTTTCCTCTCTCTAGGTCAATGAATATTTAATAATTTGTTTAAAGCAGAACAGCTTTAAAGGAAGACCCTGGTATGGTTTTCAGGGTAGAACATCCAAGAAGCTCGCGGCTCCGTGATACCTGGTTTCTCACTCTGACACAAATTAAGCAACATGATTTGATAAAGCATATCTTCTAGCTCTCAGAAGACAGTTTTCTATTAAATGTCTCTCTACTTTCCTATTTTTTTGTTAAATGGATGACCTTGCTCACTGACATACCTGATTTCTGGGAATCCCTACCAGACACCCAGTGACCACCTGATGATTCAAATTCTGACTCACAAAAGCCTCAGGCACAGCTCAGGACTTAGTGTTTTCTTACCGGTACACCAGCTCTAGCTCTTGGTACAGTCTGTGATCTGAGCCTTCCTGTGAAGTGCTCCTGAAGTTATATAGGCTTGTTTGACTGCTCTGTGTGCAAGGTGTGACAAGGTGGCAGATTTGTGCAGATGAAGTGCTAGTTCTCCTCCCAGGCATTCTCTTGCAGCAGCTGTGACCATGAACTTTAAATGCTAATTATTTCAGATTATTTGAGGTGTGAAGGACAGCATAAAGTTCAACAGTAAATAGATTATTCACTCCCTCTTAGGCGCAGCTTTTGTCTGTTATCTGGCTTTCCTAATCATGGTGAAATTAAAGCCAATTCAGAACCAGAAACATCAAGCATGCAGGGAGCCAAAAGGATCCAGACCAAACTCAGATATTATAATGCCACTAGAACAAAGCTAGAACAGAACTGAACACTTTGAGATGGATTTTGTAATACAGAAAAGATCCCAATGTACGTGTAACTGACTGTACCTATTTCTGTTTTGTATCTCACTGAGAAGCCAGTTCTGAGAACAAGAACATAAGAGCCTTTCAGAATTACAGATGCATATTCAAACTTCTTCAATTGCTCTTTCTAATTTCAGCACACATCATCATGTTGTAAAACTGTGGTAGAGTTGTGTAACATCTTTTCCCACATTCACACTAATTTTACTTTCATTTCTAATACATTGCACAATGGCAGAACTAGGCCTTCAGCAGTTTATTTACATAAACTATTTTACTTCCACATTTGCTGATGAGATTTTTTTTTCCGTAAGTAAAAGAATACCTATGATGCCAAAAGTAAGAATGAGGGCATATTTAGTGGACCTAGAGGAGGCATGAACAATGTCAACAATACTCCAGTAAGTAGCAGAGCTACATCTCGTATTGGTATTCCACTAAGGGCAGGCAGGTGATACCTGTACTCCCAGGCTGCTTAGCCCAACATCAGTCCTGGGAGAAATAATAGGAAAACTGAAAAGTGAT